AAGAATGTATGCATGCTCTCTTGCAGAGCAATTTTTGTGCCTCCAAATATGTATCGGCACCGAGTCTCCCATCAAGTCAAAACAAGATTAAATATAAATTAGTGACCAAGCACACAACAAAACAACCACAAGGGAGTCCCATTCAAATGGCCTGTAATGTCGGGGAGAAGAGCCAGGCTTTTAGTCAGTTCCTAAAAGTCTATCATATTTTGGGGGTGGGGGGGGAGAGAAACTGCTCTAAAAAACAGAGTAACCACAGAAAAGGTGCACTTCCTAGGTTCCATGACATTTAAAAGAAGGAACCTGGAGTACATCTTCACTGTGGAGTTGGCAGATGTCTTGGGGAATAGATCAGATCCGATGGCATGGAGGGCTTCAAAGGTAATAAGCACACCTTGAATCACACCCAAACGTTTACTGGGAGCCAGTGTAGGTCATGGAGTAGCAATATTACCCAAGTCTGGATCCTGAGTGGAAAACATCCAGATAATCTGCTTCCTTCAGGGTCCTCAGAAGCTGGAGACCAACTGCCTTCTTCACCACTTTCCCTTAAAGGGAAAAATGGACAGTGGACAAAAATAGATCTAAGGAATCTAAGCTGCATCTCCCCTTACCACCTCTTTTCTGGTTTCTGTGGACACCTGATAAAAGTCAGTCTGCTTGAATGAGTAGTAAGGAGATGCATGTTAGGACCAAAACGGTTCCTCCTAATAATTTTTAAAGCATGCACAGTCCTAGAAATTGTAATCATACATACATTTGGGGTACAACGTATTCTGGAAGCCCATGTTTGAACCTGGAGGCAAAAAATATGCAGGAAGGAACAAAATACAAAAGAGGCAAAGAGTGGCTGGCAAAAAGCTCCAAATACAGGAAAATATTTTGAAGCAACAGCAAGAGTGAAGACAACGAGCCAGATTATTAAAAACCTGGCTTTTAAGATGTTACTTGTCTTTTTCATAACCAAGCTAAATGCAAAAACACATGGTAGCAGTGGCACCAAAGGAAAACAAAATAAGCTTAACTTATGTTAAGAATGCTGTTGGCTCACATGCCGTAAGGTAATCACACTGATGTTGCTCTCCATCTGGACACAATGTGATTCAGCTTATTTACACCTCCTTGAAATGACAGCAGAAATGAAAAGCAGACCAGAGTCAATATGCAAGCCAAGCTCACTCCCCAACAGACACGGCATCTTTTGTATACATATGTTTCTAAATAAGGTAGTGCAGAAAATTTCCACTGACCCTTGAGTTATCACATCACTATCAGAAATCCAGCTCTTTTGCAAGGTCAGTGCCTTTTAATAAGTGAAAACTCTGTTCTGTCCAAGCTCTGGAGCTTCCTAGAAATTTTCCACAAGTGAAATGACTATAGTTTGTTCCAGATAATTATTTTCATGTATCCTAATTAAGACCATTAAGTATTTTGTTAGAAGAAAGTTAGGCAATATTCTGGCATGATAGGAATATCTCAAAACTACAGTATACTTGAAGGATCAGAATAATAACTAAGAAAAATATTTAAGCTGTGTTCCAATATATGTTTTTTATAGCAAAAGCAATAGAGCAATAGCAATAGTTTATAGCAAAAGCAATAGAGCAATAGTATATAGTGCCCCATATAAGCACTCTCTGGGCAGTTTACTATGTCAGCATATTGCCCCCAACAATCTGGGTCCTCATTTTATTGACCTTGGAAGGATGGAAGGCTGAGTCAACCTTGAGTCCATCAGAATTGAACTCCAGGCTGTGAGCACTTTAACCACTGCACTTCAATCACTGCATTACTAGGGTTCTTTATATAGGTTAATTACAATTTTAAAAATACACATACAAAATATTTAAAACAGAAATGATATTATGGCTAAGAAAAATATATTTCAAAAATCTTAAACAGAAAAGGAAATTATTTTCAGAAACATTTTCATCAGCACTGAAAAGCACTGGGGGCTGAGGGGAAATTGTGATTAAAAAAAAGTTTGCTTTTTTAGGAACCATCCTGCAGAATAAGATAATGTCAGCATGATGCCTCTGTGTTTGCTAATCAGATATCTCCCACTCCAGAAAAGATTGTCCTGTCTCCAGTTCAACTTGATTTATTCCGTGGCTTCAAAAGAGGATCAAATCTGATCAGCAATCTGATCCTTGGCATCATTTAATAAGTTCACTCTAAGACAGCAATCAGCAAAGGTTTTTTAATTTGTTGTGCTTCAAACTAACAAGGTTTGTAAACAGCGACATTGTGACATCATGGAAGTAGTTGAAACCAAACATCTTGGATTTTATTTAGCAGACTTTCAGAGATGATGGCTATGCTTGTTAGGAAGAGGGTGGGAAGATGCTTTCTTATGGTTTTTTTTTCCTTTCAATTTTTTCTTCCTTTTTATCTTGCACCTTTTTTCCTTTCTTTTCTAGTTTGTATTACCTTTCAGTACTGTAATTAAAACTTTGAATAAAATTATCTTTTTAAGCAGTTAGTTGGAGCAAGATTGCCATTAAAGTCGACTATGCCAAGTCTATCCATAGAATATTTTTGCTGTATTGGAAGTGATATAGCTTTATAATTTGATTTTTTCTTCTGTGAATAACAGGCTTTCTAGAAGAAGGAAAAATGATTATGCTGCAACAATATCTGGTCTCCAAGCTCAGAAGCAGATTGTTAGAGCAAAAGGATGGAGAGATGTGATATAATGTCATAGTATAAAATCTTTTCCATTTCTTTCATATCTTCACTAGCATAAGCTATTTTATGAATATTGTTCTGCTTAAGGGAACTTAAGAATCTCATGCTTTACTCAGCAGAAATCCCACTTCCTCCAAAAAGCAATTATGATTTAGATATTTGTATTGGGTGAGAATTAAGATACTGACTGGCATTAATCAAAGAAATCAAAGAAATCAGAAAGTACAGTATGAAGATATTTGTAAGGAGCTGACCTTTGTGCTGAATTTTTTTACCAGATATGCGATCAGATGAATTTGCTAAGATCCAAAACATTCAATCCAAACCTGTAAGGAAGTGGACTTTATTTTTTTAATTTTAATAGAGTCGTGTCATATTCTCATACATTCTGATTTGAAGAGGGCACTTAAAAGACTAAGAAAGTTGTAGAGCCTGTGCAATCTCAGTATCTTCATGTAACTGAAATAGTGTTTCTCAACCTCAGCAACTTCTCCAAAGAGAATCCAAGATACCTGGGGAATTTGGGAAAAAGTCTATACATCTTGTTGAAGATGAGAAACACAGTTTCTCACAGTTGTTGAAGATGAGAAACACTGAACTAAAGGAACAAGACTTCAGGTCACTGTGAGTTGTGTGTGTGGGGGGGCGTGCACGAAGGGAGGCTTAGCCAATCTCATTGTACACATGTTGTACTTTGACAATAAAGGTTGATTTGATTTGATATACAGCAGTTTGTTTAATTTCATCTTGCAAGCTAAGTCTATGCATACATTAGTTGTCCCTAAAAAAACCTTGCCGGGGGAAACATTTGATGACAACAGAGGTAGGAATATGCAGTGTCAGCTGTCAAGTTAAGCATTGCTAATCTTGGGAGACCAGGAACACTGAGGAGTTGCCATAACCACTGAGGATCTTATCCATGCTTCTATGGCTTCTGAGTTTTCAGCATTAGCTATACGCTATCAATGATAGCTCCTCAGTTGTTAGGAAAAAAAAGCATTTGCAAAACAAAAACACAAGATGAAATTTTGAGAAAGGAAAATTATGTTGCTTCTGTCACATTCTGCATTTTTTTCTGGTTTTTGAAAGACTACCATGTACCTATAGTCTGTATATGTTCTCTATAGCAGTGGTTCTCAACNTGCCAGCTACGCCTCGGCCGGCGCAGGGGGCGGAACCACGCATGCGCGGCGCTCCCGGGCAGGGAAAGTCCTCGACTTACGACCGGTTGGGTAGTCCTCGACTTACGACCGGTTTAGTCCTCGACTTACGACCGGTTTAGTCCTCGACTTACGACCGGTTGGGGTCACGGCATTAAAAAGGTTGAGAACCACTGCTCTATAGCATTATCTATATTGTTAGAATAGAGTAATTCGTTTTTATTAGTACTTTTACGCGTAAGATAAATATCACTATCCCCGTTCTCAAGAAAAAAATTATCTTAAAAAACCCCAATTACGTAATAAATATGATGGCACTGGAATTTATTGTGCTGCCAATAGTCGTGCCTCAGCTGAGGTGGTGAAAGTGCACGTGAGCGAGTGAATGAGGGAGCCGGTGCGCGGGTCTAGCTGGGCTTCAGTGACACCGGGCCAAATTCCGTCGAAATAATAACAGTTAACACTTCACTGTTAACACTTCGCGCTGCCGTTCCTATTTTACTATGCACGCCGCTTCTCCTCTCTGCAAAGCGCGATGTTTTCCCCAGGCGATCGAGGCCAAGGGTCAAGCGTTAATGCCTGTCTGCGTTAAAAACTATTTACAAAAAGAGGACGCGGGCTTTCCCATGCACGGGCGCTTGACCCTAAGAAGAGGAGGGGGAGGCCGCTCTTGGGCCAACGTGAGGAAAGCGGCTCCTTTAAGTACCGGGCTGCGCCTCCTCTTTTCCCTCAACTGCTCCCGGAGCTGCGGCGAGGCGAGGCGAAGCGAAAGCGTCCGGTCCATTGTTGGAGAAAGCGCAGGCGCGCGCCGCTTTTGCCATCTGGAGCCCTCGCCTTGTCCGATCGGCGCATCTCTCCTTTCTGCAGCTCACCTGCTGGCCCCCCCCGAAAGGCAGGTCCGCGCGCGTCCCCGTAGCAAGTTGCCCAGCGCGCGCGCACACACACACGCGCTCGCTCTCTCTCCCGAGGAAGCGCATCTGGCAGCTTTCCGATGGCTTCCTCCACGCGCGAATGGGCCGGGCTGGCCGCCGCGTCCCTCAAGTAAAGGCGCGAGAAGAGCGCCGTTCCAAGGCAGGAAAGCCGGAGCTCTTCAGCCGCGCTTCGGCGCCTGTCCGGTCCGGCCTCGTCTTCATCCCGCCGCCGCCTCCTCCACCATGCCGTTGGCTTTCTGTGGCAGCGGGCTCAACTCGACTGCTTACGAGGTGACCGACGGGGTGCTCAACAACGGCTGTTTCGTGGACGCCCTGAATGTGGTCCCCCATGTTTTCCTGCTTTTCATCACGTTCCCCATTCTCTTCATAGGTGAGTGCAGCTCTGGGAGGGGGGGAGAGAGGGAGGGAGGGAGGGAGCGGCTGTGGGTGTGCGCGCAAATGCTTCCTTAGCGCCTGTCCTTCCCGCCGTTTGCAGCGCCCACATTCCCCACTTCCCAGCAGATTCCCGGTCCTCTTGCTGTCCCCTTGCTGGGCTGCACTTCTGGGGTCACCTTTCTTGGCGTCGCCCATCTCCAGCGGGGCTCAGGAAGCGGGAGGAGCGGCTGCTTAATTCGCAGAGCTCCAAGGCGCGGGCGAATTGAAGTAAGCGAACCCCTGTGGGCTGAACGAAGCTGACCTGCTTTCTTGTCTCAAAAGTGATTTCTCTCTCTCTCTCTCTCTCTCTCTCTCTCTCTCTCTCTCTCTCTCACACACACACACACACACACACACACACACACACACACACACACACACACACACAAAGGCAACTGGGCTGTTTTTTTTTCTTTTGAAGAAGAACAAAACGTTTCGTGTCTCATCCAAACGTTTTCTTCTTCCTCAAGGAAAAAAACAGCCCAGTTCACACACACACACACACACACACACACACACACAAACACACACACAAAAGGCAACTGGGCTGTTTTTTTTCCTTTGAAGAAGAACAAAACGTTTCGTGTCTCATCCAAACGTTTTCTTCTTCCTCAAGGAAAAAAACAGCCCAGTTGACACACACACACAAACACACACACACACACACAAACACACACACAAAAGGCAACTGGGCTGTTTTTTTTCCTTTGAAGAAGAACAAAACGTTTCGTGTCTCATCCAAACGTTTCCTTCTTCCTCAAGGAAAAAAACAGCCCAGTTCACACACACACACACACACACACACACACAAAAGGCAACTGGGCTGTTTTTTTTTTTCCTTTGAAGAAGAACAAAACGTTTCGTGTCTCATCCAAACGTTTCCTTCTTCCTCAAGGAAAAAAAACCAGCCCAGTTGCCTTTTGAGGAAGAAAAAAGCCAACACTTTTGAGACAAGCGCAACCCAGATTACTGAGGATTTCCACAGACCTGCTTTCTTTTTTTCACTTTTCTCCTCTTCACCAAGCAATTCTTCTTCGGCAGCCAATGGCGTGGACAGGATGTGGGTTCCATCCAGTCTTTCCCTGGGTCTCCAAGAGGTTCAGTGGAATCAAATGTTGTTCTTTGCAAATACTGCAAGCATTGTCCGGTACTATAAATGGAATCTTTATGACTCGCCGTGTGAAATGAAACCGAGCACAAGGTTGTGGTGACTTTTAAAGGAGAGTATCCCAAACATATAAGCAGAGGAAAATAACAGAAAATAAGCTCACTGTAATGAATATATGAGAATATATTCCTCAATATGTGAGAGATGATAGGCTCTTCAGGTGATAATTTCTTCTACTTGCCCTCTTCTATTTTCCCACCTCTTCCAACACTGTCTGTATGTGTGTGTGTTTGTGTGTTGTTGGGGGAGGAGCGTATGGATAGCGTACAGTTTTAATTAGTAACGGAGTTTTCTATCTGAAGACAGATTTTCCTTAGCATGTCTTATTTTTAAACTATTCGTACAGGTATCCAAAGTTTCTTTTGGTAGATAGGCTGCTATATAAATTTGTTTAATAAATACAATAAAATTAAACATTTTCACCATCAGTACAGTAATCATTTTTGCTGTGTAACAAAATAATCCAGGGAAGTCCTTGAAGTGTTAGAACTTTTAATAAAATACTTTGAATTAGATCCTAAGCTAATGAATCCATAATCATCGACAAATTATTTTGACAAGATGTATTTTTCAGTGGTTTTTTTAGACAAAAACAACAGTAGAATCTATATACGAGACATATACATATGAATCATAAAAAGCACCAATGCTAACTTTCTTTGATGTTGTGTTTTTCCCCCTTAGTGGTTCACAGATAGCAGTATTTTCTTGTTTGCAAAGAACGTTGTCCTTGATAATCATGATGTATGCAATAGTGGTGATTTTAATCTGCCAAACAAGAGCTTTCTGGATGAATTACAAAACAATTAACAGTTTCAAAAGGAAATATGAGTATAAAGAAAGGCACTATTCACAGTGATGCTGAACCTAGCCTTCCTGAACTTACTAGTGGTTGAGGCACAAGGCTAGAAAGCAGGAGACCATGAGTTCAAATTCCACCTTATTAGCCATGAAAGCCAGCTGGGTGACTTTGGGCCAGCCACTCTCTCTCTCAGCCCAACTCACCTCACAGGATTGTTGTTGTAGAGCAGACATGTTAAACTCGCGATGTCACGTGATGTCACGCAACATATCGGGACGGTTTTGCCATTGCCGGCAATGGGGTGGGTATAGCTTTCGCATGACGCGTCCGGCCTGCGGGCCGGCAGTTTGACACCCCTGTTGTAGAGAGTATTGTGTGTGTTCATGACCTTGAATTATTTATAAAAATAATTTAGGGTATAAATAAGGAAAATAAAGAAATAAAATTTAAAAATGTTCAGAAAACTGTGTAACCATTTCCCATATATCCTCCATATATATAATCATCACCACCCACAGTTCTATTCTTACAGTTACTCTGTAAGAAATGCATATTTATTTATTTTAGAACATTTATATAGCCGCCTACTCACAGCAACTCTAGGTGGCTTACAAGCAGCTAAAAAGCACAAAATAGAAAAAAATAAAAAAGATTAATAAAAAACCAATAATTTCCCACAACAGCACACAATTAAATAAGCCATTTGATGGGCTTCTTCACACTCTGGGTTCTCCAGGCCCACTGGCAAAACCAAGGAAGTCCAACATTCTAACTACTATACTCACCATTGTTGCTGGTTGAATTCCTGACTGTTGGGAACTTAAATATATTTTCTTTATTCTCATCAGAAAAACTAAATCCAAATGGTTAGCTTCTCAATCTATAGGATGAACTACTTTCAGAAGTTCTATGATTATTTTGAATTTCTAGCCTAACTACAGCCCAACAGAGATGGATCTTTGATTCCATCTGTGTCATATTACACTCTTAATACAATTAGGTGGGTTGTGGGTTTTTTTTCTACAAATGCAGTATCAGTGCCAAAGCTTGTCTTTAATCAGGTATTTCTCATTTCTGTGCTTTTTATATCTCTTTTAGTTTGTTATCTAAAAAACTTCCAAAATTTGATCAATATTTTTTCCCCCAGTTTAGGATAGTTAGGGCCGGAAACTAGATTTTTTGTTTGCACAAAAATGTTAAGGTAATGGTGATTATTTGCTTTTTATATTAGGATGGGGAAGTCAAAGTTCCAAAGTTCATATCCATCATAGCACTTGGCTTCATTTTCCTGGTCATAATTTACGGTGGATTTTGACTTTTATCCTTTTGTTTGTGCTGGTCTGCGAAATAGCTGAAGGAATCGTGTCAGATGGGTAAGAATGCACAATATATATATATATATATATATTTATTCTAACATAACTTGCTGAACTGTTTTGCTTGTTAGGAACTGAATCTTAAGTTCATGGTGATTAGTTTGTGACATGTATTCCAAAAAAATAAATAATAATAACTGATATTGCATATATATATATATGCACAATTGTTTTTAATTAGCTAGATGATTTCATTTTGTTTGTCACTTTGTTGTGAATATATTTTCTACACTGTATTTTCTACACTCTATGATTCCCATACCTATAAAGGTTCAAAATATCCAAACAGAGGGGGGAAATGCACTGTTCTCAAAATGTATAAATCTGAATCCAATCTATTTAAAAAGA